CATTTACAAAATATCACTGCTCTCCACGTTAATGATTGTACAGACACTGCAAAGACATAAAATGACACATTCAAAAGATAGAAACATAGAAAAGTGCATACATATTCAACCCTGACCTTTCCTTTAATCCCACACACACACACCTACCTACCTACCTACCTAGCTACGTACAAATTCTTATTTTTACACAATCTAATCCCACGCAGGAGGAAGAAAAAACTAAAAACGTGTTCAATGTCTGCTCCTCTTATCGGCTCCTAACACTCGCTCCAATTATTATTTTTTCCGTCTAGAATATGATACTTTTTTATTTGTGAAAAACTAATAATCATCGTTTCGTCGAATGTACTTCAAATTGTAAAAACTTGTCCACAAAATGAAAATTAAAAAGAAAACACTGTCCTCATCGGTCCATTAGAAACTAACCAAAAGATCCAGCAACTGTTTGTGTCGCACACATTTCTGCTCCATCATCACTCCAATAAACAATTAAACAATAAATAAATAAATAGATAGATACAATTAAATAAATTTAATAAATACAAATAAACGATAGATATATTTTTATCAATTTAATTTAAAATACGTGCAACGAAAAATAATAATAATGCACAATATTTTTAAGACGATAAAGTTTGGAAAGGAGAAACATTTCAACCGACGGTATATTAAAACACTTGCCAATGAAATGTACAAATTTATTTAAATTTTAAAAAACTGCATTTGTACGCACATAAACACAAATGTAAGAAACCAAATAAAATCATTTGACTGTACGGCCACTAAACATTATTTATTTATTTAAATAATAAAAATATAACTTGGAAATGTGCGGATACACACATACATACAAAACGTGCAAACCTATACTACACGAAGCTAACAAACAATCTGTGTCCCACCTAGGAAACCAAGATGAACATGAAGGAAAGCAGACAAATGAACAAATTATTGCATGTACAAACACAAGTACATTATTCCTACTCTAATAATCAAAATGAGCAAACAGCGAACAAACAAACGAACGAACGAACGAACCACAATTCCAATGCGTACGTGTGAATGAATGATTATACAAACATTTCTTCTCAAAGCGTCTATTTAACGTGCAATACATTAACATCCGCGGAAACCAAAGGTTGAAAATCATGTGAAAATGATTGCACAAACACATATTCACAGTTATACATAAATGCATCTAAAAACACTAACATAAACAATCATACACAAATATGCAAACTTACAAACATGTAAATACAAAGCATACAGACAAGACATCATACGATCAAACAAAAATACAAACAAAAACAGAGTAAACATATAAACAAATTTGCAAACATACAAGTATACAAACAAATACATTAATCAAACAAAGATACAAACAAAAACACAGCAAACATACAAACATATTTGCAAACATACAAGTATACAAACAAATACATTAGTATATAGGTGCATGTTTGTATAAAATGATAGGAGGATTGTGCTGGAAGTAATTTTGGTCCTTCATTACATGGACACACAGCCCCTGGCATCTTTCCTCATCGAATGTTCCATCGACTGTGATCTTATGATTATTCTTGTTTACGTTTTTTGTTGATGTTGTTGTTGATGTGTTGTTGTTGATGTTGTTTTTGATGTTGTTGTGGATGTAAGTGGCATTAATAAAACTATTGATAACTCGCTTATCCCATTCCATTCCATCCCATTCCATCCCATTCTATCTCATTCTATCCTATCCTGTCATATATCACATCCAATCTATACCAGTCATAACTTTTTATATCATATCTAACTATATCTAATTCTTCTTTCATTTAATATATTTCACTCAATCTTACCCTCACTCTATCCATCTCTCCCTACCTACCGACCTATCTATATTATTTTCAGTTCTGTATGAGGCTAATCACCAGGCGGCGCTTAGTTTAATGTTAATTTATAATTAAAACTCAGCCGACCAAGCAGTGCCCAGCCCACCCAGATGGATCGGTCATCGAGTGATCTCTCTTGTTTATTGAACGCCTGATTGATATCGGAACTCAGTCTGACGATAAGAGGCACCGCCTGCTAATCAATCAAGCACTTAAACGACCAGTTCTTAATGGCTGTTATTAGCTAACTGATTGATTGCACACAAGTGTAGCCGCGTTTATTTTAAACTTTTTTTTAAAATTACACGTAGAAATGAACTTACGAATGCAAACATGCGCGTGTTCGAAAAAGTTCAGTCTCCACGATTTATGCTAACATTTTTTTTCTTCTTCTTCAAATACACTTTCAACCAAAAAATCATTTTTAAAAGCGTCATACAATGAATTCACATAAAACATAATATAGTTTTGCTGTATTTTATAATTGCTAAAGTAAGTGCGGTTTTGTGAAAATTAGCTTTCCATTCATTCTCTCACGTTGTTGGCTGGGAAACCTTTTTAAACTTTTTTTTTTGCGATTTTAAATTGAAAACTTCTCTCAAAAGGAAGAAATGAAAAATTTATTATTATGGCATCCATCTGCATATGTGTGACTAAGGAGATTAATCATTTAAATTCACAAACAAAAATGTCTGCATAGCAATTCCTTGCACGTTTGCTCGCGATGACAAAATGATAAATGACCAGCAACCCCATGTCCATAAAAATGCCCATGCAATAAAATAATCATGAATACACGCACATTCACACATAGACTTTAACAATAAAGACAATCATAAACACACAGACACACACATACCTAAAAACTCAACTAAACACGCAACTACAAACGCAATAGAAACAAGCGCGTATATGCGTACGTGGTGAAAATACAGACGGCAAAAACGATAAAGTCTAGAATAGCAGCTTTTGTTGAAATAATCCGCTATCGATTCTTATTAATAATAATCCTTCACCGCTTGTTATTAATCACTTCGTCATAATCATCTCGTTTCAATAATTGCTGGTGGTGCCCAGGTTGAAAATAACTTCATAGTTATACATGCACGAGTGTTTTTTGTGTTCATAATTATTCGTCTACAATATTGTTTGAATTCTACTGAATTGTAGGCATTACACTATATTAGCAGTTTGCACATTGTTAAATTGGCTTATATGTGTAGTTGCTTGTTATGTGAGTTTGTACGAAAGAAGTGGCCGAAGAGGTTTGGGACAGCAGCCAATCAAAAAAATATTTTGTCAGGGTCAAGGTGAAACTTCACGAAAAGTTTTGTCACTTTTGATTTTACATCGGTTATAGCCATCCCTTTTTTTTATTTTCGTTATCGCATTGCTATACAAAAAAATAAAAGATTATCTTTTTTATAAATAAATGTTTAAACGTTTGAAAACAGTGTTTTAGATTTGCATTTGTAAATTTGATGTATATTCCACAAAAGATCATCGTAAAGAGATTTGTATAGCTGGCAAGTGTTCACACCTGATAACAGACAGATATTAACCAAATATCTCGCAAGCACTTTTTATTCGCTTGTGTTTCGCATTCTTCTCCATAGGATAGGACTCATTGGAGATAGAAAGTTTCACAAAAATGTACAGAGGATTAAGGTGAAGGTCATAGTTATAAACAAATGTGTTTGTATGTGCGAATGAATTTAAATGTGTAACTATTTATATTTTTGTTCGTTCAACATTTTTGTCTTTTTTACGTTGTTGGTTTGTTTGTATGTTTTTTTTGTATGTATGCTTATTTGTTTGTTTGTATGTATGTATTTATGTTTGTTTGTTCGTCTGTCTGTATGGTATGTATGTTTGTTTGTTTGTTTGTATGTATGTTTCAAGCATATTTGATGTTGTTTGAGCGTGCATGGGCATTTTGTATGCAAAGGTCGCGAAAAGATGAACGCTGAAAGGATTGTTTGTCCGCTTTTGTCATGTATGTGAGAGAAGGTAAATATTTGTTTGATGCTCGGTTACTATGTGTGTATGTGTGTGTGTGTGTGTGTGTGAATGTTTGTGTGTGTGTGTGTCTGTGGGTGTGTGAAAGTGTGAGCCTATAAGAATGTTTGTGTTTGTATTGTAAGGTTGTAATGTTTGTGTTTGTATTGTAAGGTTGTAATGTTTGTGTTTGTTTTGTAATGATGCGCGTTTAAATGTTTTGGTATTTTATGACAATCATTCATTTAAAAAAAATCCATTTTTTTTTCAAATAAAAGTTAATCAGATAGACATTACATTTTTGTATAAAACAATTAATGAGTTTGAAAAATTAGGCTCATTAACTTTTACGGACGTACAGTTTTTCCACTCGGCTATATATTTTAGAAAAATTTCTTATTAACGTTGATTTGTTGCTTGATGAAATATGAAACTTTGTTCTCGGAAAATAGTATCAAATTATTGTATATATAAAAAAAAGTTGAATTTAAAATTGAAACCACATCGGTATTGTTGAAGTTTTGAAATATAAATTAACACGTAAGCAGAAAAAGATGCAAACACATACTTGCACCTGCACAGACGCATACGCCCGCACTAACACAGGCACACACAGAAAAACACACACACACACACACATACTAACACACAATGAGAAACACACACAATGGAGCATGCTGGTTTCTATTTAACCTGAGCAACATTCAGAATGCTGACACATTTTATTTGACACCGCTTGATACCTGATACTTGTTGTTTGCTGGTTCAATCTAGAAACCATGAAACTTTGACAGGAAGCATTTTTATATCTTCAAAATAGAAAAATTCATCGTTTACAGAATCTGGTATTAATTAAATGTTCGTTTTTGAAATTTTTTTTGTTAAATGAAACTCATTATTACCACAATTTTATTTTAATTTTTAAACAAGAATTTTTCAAAGTTACACAATTTATAATTTCTTTCAATTTAAAAAATATTTTAAAAGCACTTCAACGAGTTTCTACGTACAAGTAAAGTTATTTTAGAAACATCAAACGTGATAAACATTTTAAGCCTATCAACATTTTTAAAAAAACAGATTTTTTCGCACAAATTTAAAAAATAATAAAATATAAATACTGAAAAGATGGCCCGCTCAAAACATGGAACGGTAACAAGCAGCATAAAATCACGTTCTTTTGTCAAGTTAAAAAAGTTCATATCTAACTATTTGCCTTCTGTCAATACTTCATTTTTATTTTTGGGATTATTTTATTTTCTGCAGTTTTGTATCCGGTCTTTTTCCAATGGTATTTTTACTTCGAATAAAAGCGTTAAAAATGTTTATTAGTTTAAAAAATGCTATTATCGTAAGAAGGATGGCCCTTAGAAAGATATTGCTTTTTGGAGATTGTTTTTATGACTTTTAGAAAAGACTGTTTGTTATGCCACTATTTTTTTGGTAAAATAATGTTTGCTTGCATAATCACTCTCTTTATTTTTAACAACATTAATCAAAATATTATCGTCAACATCAAAATCATCATCGTCATCACCACCACATCATCAGCAGCATCATTATCGTCAACGTCATCATCAGCAGCAGTAGTAGCAGCAGCATCGATAGAATATCATCACCACCATCGTCGTCTTCATCATCGTCGTCGTCGTCTTCATCATCATTGCTGTCATTCATCATGAGCTTTCACATTACGTTGGTGCACAGCGTACATGAAAAACCAATATGAACGATTAAAAATAACTTTTGGCAGAAAACAAATTTTTTTATTTTAAATTTATAGAAATAAAATAAATTAATTATTTTATCAGAAATTATTATAATATGTAATGGAAAACCAAAAGCATAGACAAACAAAACATAGATAACAGATAGAATATTTAATGAAAATAGAACGTTAACAATTTCAAACTTGACCAAATCATATTTTTCAACAACAACATTAAATAACTTTAAGAAAAACTAACAAACTAAATAACAAAAAATAAACACAAACATCACATGACATAACAAACAAAGTAAAAAAAAAACGTCGTATACAGTAATAAAAACATCAAAAAAAACCACACCAACTACATCAGCAACAGCATGAAAAACAACAACATTACCTGTGACAACATTCTCAAAAGCATTTCAACTTCCGAAATGGCATTCATTGCAGAAATACTTCAGATATACATCAATCTTGTATCAATAAAAACAACAACAATAACCAAACACATCAACCATGTATCAACAACAGCACTAACAACAACAACACTCTCAACAGCAACAACACTAACAACAACAACACTATCAACAACAACAAAAACACTTGCCACCACGACAACACCAACCAAAACAACAACATTAGCCACAACAACAACACTATCATCAACACTAACTACAACAACAACACTAACAACAACGACAACAACATTAATATCATAAAGTTCTAAAACCGATCCACATTAACCCAATTACTCCAACATCAACAAAGACTATACCAAAAACACTGCATGGTTAAACAACGCAACACGTAAGATAAACAACAACGTCAATAGAAACAACAATTAGATAAAAAAAACACTCACAACAACAAAATCAACTGAACAACACAACTACATAAACTACAACAACACAAACAACAGTAATGTAAAAATATCGACAACAATGTCAAAATCAACATATGAAATACATTCCAACTAACAACGGCGACATTAATTACAACAACAACAACAACAACAGTAACAACAACATTAATGCAGCAAAACAACAAGACCAACAACAACAACATTATCACGACGACAATTATTTACCTTTCATCCCGTAGTCATTCGAAGCTTCTTAAAACGTAATGACACTTTCCCTCCTGATCATGATACTGATGATGACAACGATGATGGTGGTGGTGATGGTGATGAAGATGAAGAAGAAGATGATGATGATGATGGTGATGATGATGATAATGTTGATGGTGACGATGATGATGATGATAATGTTGATGATGACGATGATGATGATGATAATGTTGATGGTGACGATGATGATGATGATAATGTTGATGGTGACGATGATGGTAATTACGAAAATGATGACGCCCCTGATGATGACAGCATTGACGATGACAACGATTATGATGATGGTAACAACAATAATATCAATAACGATGATGATGATGATGACGGTGATGAAGATCCTGATGATGATGAGGAGGAGGAGGAGGAGGAGGAGGATGACGATGACGGTGATGAAGATGATGACGACGATAAGATGACAATGAGATGATGACGAAAATGATGATGATGATGATGATAATGAATCTGACACAGGCAGCCAAAGTGCTTATGTTGGAGGCAGATGATAACGAGCCTGATGAAGAAGGCGATAAAAATGAGTGACGATCCATCATTGTTTTTTATTTTCATCCTCATCTTCCTCATCATCATCATTTTTATCATCATCCTCTTTGTTATCATCTTTATCATCATCCTCTTTGTTATCATCTTTATCATCATCATCCTCTTTTTCTTCTTCTTCTTCTTCTTGATTATCATCCCCTTTGTCATCATCTTAATCATCATCATCATCTTCTTCTTCACCATCATCATTATCATCTTTGTCATCATCATCATGACTTATCCCTATCTCCGCATTTATTGTCCCTTTCCACGTGATTAATTATGGAAATAATGCTTATGGGTGTGCGTGCGTGTGTGTGTGTGTGTGTGTGCGTGTGTGTGTGCGCGTGTGCGTGTGTCTACAGATGTTAATTTTTTATTTATTTTGTCGCCGTGGGAAGGTTTTTGTCTTTTTTTTCAAATTAATATTTGAAGTGTGTTATAAACAAATTTATATCAAACAACCGTGTGAAAATTATCATTTCATAACTAGACCAACCTACCATATCAATCTACCATACCAATCTACCATACCAATCTACCATACCAACCTACCATATCAATCTACCATACCAATCTACCATGTCAATCTACCATGTCAATCTACCATGTCAATTTTTTACCGAAATTGCACACCATCCAGCCTTCTACTTTAACCCTCATTTTTTCACAAAACACCACACAGAAGACGATACATCATTTGGAACATACAAACACCACGTAATACAACCCGTATCATTTGACAATTTGCACAACAAACACCATACATACAAGTAACATTTTTTCACCCCAAACTTCACAGCATGCCACAATTTACACGACACACCACAAATTCATCACACACCACAAATTCATCACACACCACAAATTCATCACACACCACAAATTCATCACACACCACAAACTCATCACACACCACAAATTCATCACACACCACATTCCCTCCTCCACACACCACACTCCAGAATCTACCAGGACACGATGAACTGCTTCCGACACCAGCTGGATGGTTGCCGTGGAAACGAGAAAGCGGTAAATCACGTGAATCTACAGACGGAGAGAATGTGGATCTATGAATATTCATGCTCTTCAACGAACTTAAAACGTTAGCATGCAAATCGTTCTCTGATTGGTCCGATAAATGTTTTACGCTTCATTGGTTTCTATGATTGGATGAATGGCTGTTGTTGGCTTGGTTGGTTCATTTATTGGTTCGTTTTTCGGCTGGTTGGTTTGCTGGTCAATCGGTTGATTTTTGGATTGACTGATTGGTTGGTTGTTTATTTAGTTGGTTGACTGATGAGCTGATTGGTCGGTTGATCAGTCAAAGTGTTGGTTAATGGTTGACTGCATGCTTTGTTGGCTTGTTGGTCGACTGGTTAATTGGGCCATGAACTTAGACATTTTTTGATAAAATGTTGCGGCTTGCACATCTCAAAATTTATAATTTGCAATATTACGATCATAAATCATTCAAATATATATATATATATATATATATATATATCAATCGTGCTATAATGAATCTACGAATACATAGATTATCAACTGAATCAAACATCAGTCATTGTTATATGACAGAAATAAATTTATAACCTGTACGCCTACTCTTCTAAATATGTCCATTAATTTTAATAATATTTGTAAAAGATTGTCACATAATTAACTTAATTGGATGTAACAAATTAATTTGCGTATCAATTCACCTCCTTAATTTCTCTAACTACATGATTTTTAATTCTAAACTCAAAATAACCTATGTACGATTAAAATCTGCAACAGTTTAATGATAATGAAGAAACAGCAGATGATACATTAAGTTTCGCAACCAATCTGCCATTCTGATTATGGAAATAATTGTTGCTGCTTCTAACATCTGCTCATTGTTAATGTCATCTATTTTATTTCATTAAATTAAGAATTTTTCAATCACATTATAAATATTTTATTACGTTAAAAATATTTCCAATGTATAATGTCAAAGAGGCAGACTGGCATCTTTAAAAACTGCTCTGATTAACATTCATTTTTGCATCAAAAACATTCTCATCTCACGAACAATATGAATAAGCTTAATAAAAACATTAATATATAAAACCATTCAAACAACCTTCGTTTGACATTATCAACAACAACAACAACAAAAAACAACAACAACATCGCCAAAAAACTCTATCACGCAAAACAACAAAAAAGCAACAATAATATTAAAAGCAACAACAAACTAACAACAACATTAACAACTACAACATCATCAACAACAAAATCATCAACAACAAAAACATCAACAACAACAATAACAATAGCATCGACTACAACAAAATTAGCAACAAACAAACTACAAAACACCACCACAATAGCAGCAAAACATAACATTATCGCAACACCAACCCCAACAACAACAATAAATTACCAACAATAACATTAACAACCACAACAACATCGACTGCAACAATATCATCAATAAACGAGCAATGTAAAATCTCCACAATAACAACAAAACATTATCGCAACAACAGTAACACCAATAACAGCAACAACACCACCACCATGAACAACAACAATTACAACAACAAAACAATAATGTAACAATAATGGTGTGTTTGATTCATCAGATCCTCAAATAACTGGCACGGTGTGTTTGTCATGAATTCGTTGTTGGCTGTATGGCAGGGCATTATTTTGCTCTTCCTTTGTTTTTCTTGTCACTAATTTTAAAGTCTCATTTTTTCTTGTAGAAGTAAAGGCAGCAGCAGCAGTAGTAGTAGCAGCAGTATAGTAGTAGAAGTATTAGTAGTAGAAGTATTAGTAGTAGTGGTGGTAGTAGTAGTATTGGTAGTATTAATGGTAGTAGTAGTGATAATAATAATATATTCAGTAGTGGTAGTAGTAGTAGTAGTAGTAGTGGTGGTCGTAGTAGTAATAGTAGTAGAAGTAGTTAGTAGAAGTGGTGGTAATGGTTGTTGTTGTAATCGTAGTATTGTTGCTGATGTGTTGAAGTTGTTTTTGTTGCCGTCGGCGCTTTTGCGGCGATTGCAGCTTCATTTTGTTGCGGCTATGCACGGTTGCGATACCAGACGGAGGCGGTCGCCATCGCTAGCGGTTGCGATTTTCAAAAAGTGTTGGTTTCAAAAAC